TGCTGTCCCATGGATTCCAGGGTTTTTAACCCATGGGCTGTGTGCTGTCCCAGCTGCCTTTGGACATATTCCACTAAACCAGGGTGCTCTGACCTGGCCTTGGGCATTTCCAGGGATCCAGGGGCAGCCAGAGTTTCCCTGAAAAACCTGTGCCAGGGCCTGCCCAMCCTCACAGCCAGGAAWTCCTTCCCAATATCCCATCTATCCCTGCCCTCTGGCAGTTTGAAGCAGTTCCTCCTTGTCCTGTCCCTCCATCCCTTGTAAAGTCTCTCTCCATCATTCTYRTAGCCCCTTCAGGCACTGGAAGGCCACAATGAGGTCRCCCTGAATCCTTGCTGTGGTCTGTCTCATTTACAGCTCACACTTCCACGGATTTAAAATTAAAATGTAAAATTTAAACCTCAGCRCTGCTTTTAATTCTGTCACCACAGCTCCAGTTGCAGCTCAGAGTCCTGCAGCATGAAATGGTTCAGTTCTCAATTACAACTGTTCCTTTTTTTCACTCTGGCAACACTTGTTCCCCGYTGTCCCAACTCCTTTATATGTGTATCAGTTTAATAAAAATGAATTTCACTTGCCCTAAGGCCCTGCAGAACCATTCCAGAGATTTCACACCTCCAGTGGAAGGTGTCCACAGCACGGGGTTGGAATGTTGATGAGCTTTAAAGTCCTTTCTAACCCAAGGCATTCTGTGATTCTRTAATTTACAGATAAAATAGAATATAAATCCCGCTATCCAGTTTTCTGGGAGAAAACAAGGATGTTTTCATAAACTTTGGCAAACTGGATGCTGTGGCAATCCAAGTRTTAAAAGGCAAAAAATTCAGGGTTGGTCACAAAGTTGGTTTCTCGTGTTGCTCTTGGACAATGTAAGGGGAAAAGAATTACTGTCAGAGCTGGAGCTTCGAGGAATTTATTCTGGATTTCTCCTCAGCCCCCATTTACCCACCCATATCAACAAGCACAACCAAACCAAACACCTCCCTGAGCCAGCAGGGCTTCTGCACTGGGCTGGGTTATTCCAGCACCTCTTTCCTCATGAATGATTTGAAAAGGTGCATTATTTATGTGTGTGCATGCACTGCCCCTCAGTGAAGCCCCAGGTGATGCATTTCCTATCTCAAACCCAGCGTGGGAGGGAGTTCCTTTACCCACAGTGCTTTTAGGGCTCAACAGCCAGAACTGGATTAAAGTGTTTATGACAACTCTCCTTCAAGGCTGATGGTGATCTCAGAAGCCTTCTCCAACCCCAGCCATTCCAGTGATGCATTGGGATTTTAGCTTCTATATTTTYRTGTATCTGTRTTCTTGTAATTCTCTAGTRCACAGTGCTAAGCTCTAAGTTCTCCCAYTTTTAGACAAAACAATTCCTCTCTGGGCCTGAAACTCCAGGACACYTYGCTGTCCCAGGGCCCCAAAATCTGTAATCAACAGAGAATTRGGGGGAGCAAGTTTGGGGTGGTTGTCATCATCACCTGAAGGTGTCATTGGAGAATTGGGGCTCAATATGTTCATGAGACAGAACTTATAAAAGGTGAAGATCTCGTGACTTGGGGTCCATTTTGGGTGTAGCCTCATGAGGAGGCTTTGCCTGCCCTCAGTGTACCAGTAGGCCTGGATTAAATTTGTCTGCTTTATTCTCCTAACTTTGTCTGGGCTCTGTTTCAGATGAGCCCTGTTTTAGGCATCACCAGGATTCCATGAGAGTGGGCAAGGCAGGAGGATATTGCAGGACAGTATTACCTGTTTTTTAACATCTTTTGAGATGCGAGGATGATTTATTCACCAGACCATGGCGCAGATCCAGCCAGGGGTCCATTTTCCCCGCACAGCCCCGGCGATACAGATTCTCCCTTTTGGGGCACGTACCTGAGGGGCCAGTTTAATGCCTTGGGGCTTTAGCGTGACGTGGTTCATGGGGGTGAGCTCCATCCCTGGCAGGAGGTCGTAGAGCTTCTCCTCAGCCCTCTTGTCTCCCTTGAGGTGGTATCCACGGCCCAGGCCCGGGTACGCCAGGTAGCCACGGCCCCCCAGGCCTCGGACGCCCGCAGCCCCTACAGGTACATTCATGTAAATTTCTAGGAATGTAAGAAGGCATTACACTGAATCAAATCATGGGAAGAAGGACCCTGATTCTCGCTGAAATGGAAAAGTTAGCCCCGCTTGCTGGGAGGATGGGGAAGCGCACGGGCAGGAGGCTCACGGAAGGTGCTGGGATTATCTGGGCTGGACACTGACACCCGTTCTTGGATTGGTGAGGGGTTTTGGGGACAGAACTGCTTCTTCCTGCCCATTTTCCATCTTGTCTGGTCAGTTTTAATTTAAGGACAGCTTTTTGCCCAGCTTTTCAGCTGAAAGGTAGAGAGGGGACAGGTGGTATCTTTTGGTACCCACTGGAGTAAATTCACCTTCCTGAGGAATTCCCCACTTACACACTTTCATCCCTATATGAACAAAAATCCTTTTTGTTTTCCCCTATTATGCTTCCATTTTTTTGTTGGAGTAACCTTCTTGGGAGTCTGGGAAGACCACAWGGCAAGAGAGCAGTGGGGGATAATCACATTTGCTCTTTTCCTTGTGCAGCCTTCCAAGGGGCTAGGCCACCTCTGAGAGGAAAATCTCAAGGCTCCAGGGATATTCCTGCTTCTCTCTTTTATTCTATATTCTCTTTATTCCTGCTTCTCTCTTTTATTCTCTCTATTTATATAGAGATTGAATTAACCAAATTAATTGTTATTAAGTGAATAATCCCCCAGAACAGGGCTCCACCTCTCAGAGCACACCAGGGCTTGCTTGATTTCAGTGCTGCTTCCCTACCCTGCACCAGGGCAACATGACCCCATGGCTTTGGGTCAGGAAACACCAGGACTGGTAAAACTTTCCCTACAATCTTCAAAGCAAAGAAGAAACAGTGCTGCTGCTGGTGGTGGCTCTGGGAGCTGGCTCTGACGGGGGAAAGGAAAATTGGTTTGTTTGGTCTYCCCTGCTGGGGCAAAACCAGGAGGACTCGTGGGTTATTTAGTCTGGACTGAGGGCAAGCTGGAAGTTCTCTCCAGGAAAACGGTTCTTTTTTTTGGCTGGAAGATTGCCTTGGGGCAGGACAGAGCCAAAACCCTGTGTTTTCCATTCCCCTTCCGAGAGGGATCCAGGAGCTGGGCAAAGCCAATGTCACTGTGTCAGGGGAGCAGTCCAGGAGTGGGGRCAAAGCCAATGTCACCAACACACATCAGGGGAGCAGCCCAAGAGCAGGGGCAAAGCCAATGTCACCGATGTGTCAGGGGAGCAGCCCAGGAGCCAATGTCATCGGGGGAGCAGCCCAAGAATGGGGGCAAAGCCAATGTCACCAACACATATCGGGGGAGCAGCCCAGGAGCCTGGTAAAGCCAACGTCACCMGTGTGTCAGGGGAGCAGCCCAGGAGTGAGGGCAAAGCCAATGTCAC